TAAGCTTTCGTGGGTAAGAACCTCACATCTGAAGAAGTGAGGTTCTTACCCACGAAAGCTTATGCTCCCAATACTTCTGTTAGTCTCAAAGGTGCCACAGGACCCTCTGTTGCTTTTTCATAAGTAACATATACGTTTCCTGCCTGATTAGTTCATGTAATTTATTAGAAAATTTACCTTGTGTGATGTAAATAGTTTGTGACCAGCATCTACACACTACTCACAAAATAGGACAGTCTACATAGATAGGTTTGCCTCTAAATTAAATTTCTTTTCAACTACCTACGTATACAGTCATATAGAAAAAGACAGTCACGAAAACTAACCTTAACAATTCTAGTGATCTTTTAGCATATACTTAGTTCAGACAATTCTACACTTAATCTTAACAATTTATCTGGAATTACATTCCACAAAACTGTAGCCAGGAACAATACAATTCCTTGTCGTTTTCAGATCATACCTTCGCTTTTTACAATTCCACAGCAACTGATCTCAGATTTTAAATGTTAGCTAACGAGGAACAAGAGAGTCAGTAAGACTATATAAAGTAGTAATTAACCACTTCAACACACAGCTCTCATTCCATAAATTAATGAAGATCTATTTAAGTATCTAAGATTTAATTACTGTATCACCTGATGTTGACTGATAATAGGGATGTAACAATATTTAGATGGACCTCCAAAACACAAATTATGGCTCCCTATGCAACTTCAATTGTATGCCCCTTTCTGGCACCGAACCAAAACATTAGTTTTAAACTACAACACGCTTTGTCAGACCCTGACAAAATTTCTTATCTACACTTATTCACCATTTATTAAAGAGTACCCATCCAAAACTCAATGCACCTTGCTAAATTTTAAGAATGCAATCACACTAATTTAAACAAAAGCAAAGCCATCAGCCTACCTAAATTAGAAAAAGAACAAACCCACCCCATCCCAAAATACTAGCTTCCTGGCACGCAGATCCCTGCCCCCAAATCACCTCTTACTTCCCAAAAGCCTTGAAGTATGCCCCAAAGATCAACAGCTTTGGGCTATTCTGGAATGGAAGATGGGAGTGGTGCATGAATTCCAAAGCTAAGGGCTTCTTAGCAGCTCCATCTCTTCTAAATAAAAGGGATTCTGGCTCACACACATCCACTGATCATAACTGTGGCAATATGGTCTGGAAAGAGAGATGGTCTCTCAGACAGACAGTCCCAAGCCAATTAGAACTTTATAAATCAAAAATACCACTTTAAACTCCACCCAGAAACCAGCAGGCAGTCAGTGTAGATCATGAGCTCAGAGTGAGAAATTTCACATAAGAAGTGAGCAACCGCATTCTGCACTAGCTTCAGTTCTTGAGTTGATATATGGTGTAGTCCCACATACAGTAAAAATTAGATTACTGCAGTGCATTGTAACAAAGGTATGGATCAGGCAAGTGGTTTGCATCCAAAATAAATTATTGCAATCTCAGAGAGGCAGTGAGGTCTAGCAGACAGAGCACTGAACTGGGATTCAGAAGACCTGGATTCTATTCTCAGCTCTGCCACTGGCTTCCTGGGTGACCAAGAAGCAAGTCAATTTACCTCTGTTTCCACATATGTAAAATGGGGATTTAAAGCACTGAGATCTCTATGGATGAAAAGTGCTATATATGAGCTAGTTATTAGTATTTTCTCATCAGACATATATGAGTCTTAAATGATCATCTAACAGCAGCTAGGGGTCCAACACTACTCTCAGACTATAGTAATAAATAGTGGAAACATACCTTTCTTTAAAATGGCAGATATAACCCCTGCCATATCTTCTAATTCCTTCTCCCAATTTACCAACATCTCTCATTTTATCCAGATGGAATTTAAGCCACTGAACTCTCATCCATGTTCCAATCTCTACTGAAAATACTAGGTAGAACATTTGAAAACATTGGATGGGTCAGATGAAGGATCTATAGAACTGGATGTTTGTCAGTATTCTGTAGACACCCCAATCCATACCTCTTCATGGGTACTTTAAATAAGGGGGTGGGGTGGGGACAAATCTTAGAAGGTGACAATGTTTAAGGGGCATTTCATCAATGTTTGCGGACATAAGATCAATATATTGTCCCATTAAGCCATCAATAGATTGAGTTTGCTGGGAAAATATTTCTCCTCACAGCCATCCAGAAACACTCAGAGTTCAACTAACCTCCAAGAGTGGACCATCAAAATAAGTCCTAAATGGAGGAGGACGACTGTAGCCTGAAACTGCAGAATACCACACCTGGCCGACGACATGGGTAAAATTTTCAGTTGTCTCACTTCCACTCCCAAATGCAAACACCAGTCAAGAATGTGGCCAGATAAATAAGTTGAGCCAGAAACTACCTGGGATAGTGGCTATGAAATCCTGAACTATCTCAGAAGAGATATCCTCAATGAAGATACACCTCCACCCCGATATAACACTAATTTGGACATAACGCAGTAAAGCAGCGCTCCGGTGGATCAAAGCAAGTTCAATATAACGCGATTTTTTGGCTCCTGAGGACAGTGTTATATCAGGGAAGAGGTGTATTAGAGTCACTGAGCGTTATTAGCCTCAGTGTCTCCAACCCCACCTTAGTGGAAAATTAATAGTTCATACAGAGACTTTGCAGTGGACACTAATACAAGTCCCATGTTTCCTGAACATACATGCAAGATAAATATGTTGTATTTCGGCTTGGCAAAATTTGGGGGTTATAATATAATTTTGAAGGATAACATCGATGTTTATTCTTAAGCATTTTTTCCTATTTTTATCTATTTAAATTCACAGTTCCACGAAATTATGGATTTTAAGCATTTTTTATTTGTATTATCCCCATAATTAAAAATGTGTATTATCAGGCAACAGGGGGTGTCAGTCAATTATTCATTGACAGTAGACGCTGAGATTCAAAAAGTTAAAGTCTTATGACCATTAAAACCCAAATTGGTAACACCATGTCAAAATATACAAAGTAAATAACCTTAAAACCAGCTCTGATAAGTTCTCAAACAGCATTTTTCTTACTTTGCCTATCTGCATTTTTTGATTATTATCAATATAAATATTTTTGTTAGTCTGTGTCTATGGTGAAATCAACATTTACCAATAAAAATCTAACCCTTCCAAGCCTAGCTGTATTTGATCCAGTTTAGAGGTGGAAAAACTTGCACTTCTGGCAGGATGCAAATAGCACAGCCACAATACCACCCTTTTCTAACTCATTCCCTTCCTCTCCTCCATTTTGGCGGCCCTTTCTTTATCACCTCTCCTCAAATGGAGGTATGCAAATGCAATATTTAAAAAAAAACAACTGAAGCTAGGAACTTCAAACATGGAAGAAAATCAAGTTTGAACAAACTCAATTCAATATGTGTAAAGTTAACACTAGGGTCAAATGTAGTCCTGCCATAAACTGGTACCACTCCTACTGACTTCAGTGAGAGTTCCACTGTCTAATGCCAAGGATGAATTTGGTCAAGTTGGAACATATACGTGCGTTCAAATTCCCTCCCCCCCACACCTCCCTTCTCTCATTTGTTCATTACAACGATCAAAACATATAGCAACTTGGAATGCTGTGCATGCTTAGTTTGTTTAAACTGGTCTCTTGGGTTAAGGTCATGCAGGATTAAGGGGTATTGCTAAAGAGCTAGATTATAACCTTACAATGTGGTGTGAATAAGAAGTGGGACATAGCTGCACAGTGTCAGAATCAGACTAGAAAATGAGTTCTGACTTAGAGAATCACAAACATAAAAACAAATACAAAGACAGTGATATAGGCCCTAAAAAACGTGATACTACCTTTGTTATGGGAAATAACACGAATTAGGCAGTGTTGCTTACTTTATAGAACTACTCAACTGCAATGGGGATAATTATATGTGAAAACGCTGTCTAAAAATATTTCAGGTCCAATACCTAAATTAAATACCTGACAATAAAAAAATACAGTAGAACTTTACTTATTAGTAACGCCTTCTAGATACGTGATTTTTGATAATTAGCAAATTAATTACTAAACAAGATTGGTACATCACAAAATGTGATTTGCTCATTTATTTTGTCAATTGCAGTTTGTAATTAATGGTCTGATATTTTGAAATGTACTAGTAGCACTCCAGTATATTTTGTAACAGTAAGGAGTTGTTAGTAAGATTTCAATAGGGCACTCTAAATTTATTTATTTATTTATTTATTTATTTTTGAAAGGTCAGGAAAGACCACCAGTTTTGTATATGGATTATAAAGTGAACAAAAAAGTAAATTTCTACTATTTTTTAAAAATCCAGAAACTACCTTGATAAACACAAAATATAACATTTTTTATTTGCATTATTCATACGATTTTAATTTGTTAACTGTTAATTAAACCACTTACAATTTTAGCAGGAATCAAAATACTTGTTGTAAAGGTTAAAAATAGTTGTTCCTACCTCTACTTTTGTTCGATAAAGGATGAGACGCTTAAGACTGCACACTTTGGCAATGTGGTTGAAAGCCTGAGGTGGTAGCTTATCACAGGAGGAGAGATTTAATTCCTGAAGGTTTGGACACATCTCAGCAATGACCTCCAAGCAAGTCTCATTGAGAAAATGGCCACAAGCCAACTCAAGGCGCACTAGTTCAGAGCCACAAACTTTCAGGAACCTGTAAAAAGCATGTATTATATGAATTAAAAGGGGGGGGGGAATTATAGTTTTCTGTGGAAATTTTGGAACACTGTCAAAAACAAGTGGATACTGTTGAAGAATGTTTTCTTAGCAAGGAAAATGTACAACCTGCATTACTTACATACTGTTAAATTAATCTGCAAAATAAAAATATGCATGGTTAGGCTAAAGTAAGTTGATTGTAACAGACCTGACGAAATCTATTAAATGGCAAAAAAACTAAAAAAAAATCATGAGTCAATTTGATATCAAGGTAAGAGATCAAGCACTCAAAAGTGAAGATATTCCGAAAGTTATGTTTACTCCACCAACATTCACTCAAACATGTTGCGTATCCTGAATAGTTTTTGGTGTTCTCCAATGAATCATACAATAAGGCCGACAGCGGGTTGCAAAGAAGGCAATTGCCCAGGGGTCCGGGCGATTTAAAAGGGCCTGGGTCCCATGGCCACCACTGCTGCCGTGGTAGAGTTGGGAGCCCCAGGCCCTTTTAAATTGCCTGGGTGGGACACCCACTGGCAGGTCCCTCCTCCCCCTCTAGCGCCGGGCCCCGCCAATCAGATTGTCCTCATCATTTGGGGGTATGCTGGAGGCACTGGGGGAAGCGGGAGGAGTGAGGGGGTGAGAAGAGGTGGGGCAGGGACGGGCCTGGGCAATGCATGGCCCAGATGCCAGGAGTGGAAGGGGCGGGACCAGCCCCTTCCAGCCGCTGAGATGCTGCTCCGCAGCCCTATGCAACAGTTGCCTGAGAGAGCCTGGCTAGGGAGGTGAATTCCGCTCCCTGCCCAGGCTCAGGTGTTGGGGTCCCCGGCAGCCGACCCGGGCGGGGAGCGGAAGCCACCTCCTCCCCAGTCAGGCTCTCTTTGGTAGCTGCCGGACAAGGCTGCAGAGCAGCGACCGAGAGGGGCCGGCATTAAAAGTGGCTCCCTCCTGCTCCCTGCCTGGGCTCCTGCCCACCAGGGAGAGCAGCAGAACGTGGCAGGGGGTGAGGCAGGTGCATGTAGAAGCCCTGGCCGTGTCGGAAGAGTGTATCCAGCAGCACAGCTGGCATCTTGCTGGGCACCAGTGGGGGTCCATTGACTGTTCTGCCCTGGGGCCCGGAATTGCTGTCGGCAGGCCTGCAATAAGGTTTACATTTAACAAAGGTAACAAGAGAAGAAGATACTAATTACTGGTAGTGGTAAGTTAATTTTACTAGAGCAGCCCGAAAGCACAACTCTACTGGGAAAAGGGTTTGGAAAAAAGGTGTTGTGTTTGTTTAAATTACAAACTTTTTTTTTTCTTACTACCAGCCCTGGAAACTAAGTTTAGGAAGTGAAAGTTGAACTCTGTTCCTTTCTTCTGACTTACCAGTTACTCTTGACTTCAAATGCAACCAAATATAACAGAGATCCTGTTTTGTTACAATTTTAAATGACCACTGTAATTCTGATTTTGACATTGGCCTGCAACTTTCTGCCTGAAGTAAGTCTCTGCCCATGAGAAAAATGTGTGAGAGAGAAAGTTTGAGGTTAACTGGATAAGACATTTGAAAGCTAGGGGATCTGAGAAAAACGAGTGTTTCATCACTGTTAGAAAAAAATTGTTCTATTTTGTTTTGTCCACAAATAAGTCAAATAATCAATGTAAAAATTTAAAGCTTGTTTTACAATATACTAATCCTCAAGGAGAACTAATCCACAGGAGTAGGTTGGTGTGAAAAGGTTTAAGCTATCAGAGACTAAATATTCAAAACACCTAGAAACTGTGAGGGTCTCCGCATGCATTACAACAACTTCTGTTGGAGGTCTGTTGAGTTCTACAAGCTCTGTTCCATCTAATCTAAGCTTTCTTCAAAAAAGTAGTAAGCTCATAGTTCCTTTTCATTGCAAAAGAAACCTTCAAAATGTAATGACAGGTTTCAGAGTAGCAGCCGTGTTAGTCTGTATCCGCAAAAAGAACAGGAGTACTTGTGGCACCTTAGAGACTAACAAATTTATTAGAGCATAAGCTTTCGTGGACTACAGCCCGCTTCAAAATGTAAATCAATCACAAGATTTACAAGTTTGATATTGCATACAATTTAATATTCTCTAAGTTTCAACTGTTTCTCCAACAGAAGAGACTAGCTGAGCCCACCCCAGTGCTTCCTGGAGTGATGTAGTCCCTGTAAGTAGGGGGCAGATGCCTGCTTTGGAAATTTGTCTACTATAGAGTATTTTAGAAAAAAATATTCCCATTGGTGGTAGCACCAATGCAGTTGCACCATGAAAAGCCTAGTGTAGTTAAGGCTGCCATAGCTTCAGACATTTTTAGCACCAAGCCAATTAAAGTCTCCTGAACATGTTTAATTGATATAGTGGAAAAATGCTTTAAGTTATCAGAGCCTTTTCTACAGCAAGGATCATATTGCTACCGCTGAACAGGTGTTGGCTCAAGTAGGATTATTATTATTATTATATTTTTTTTGCTAAACTTGCTGAGGGTTAAGACACTTAAGAGAAGCAGGATCCAGGGGGACATGCTCCAAGCATCCTAAACAATATGCCACTTGAACTCCCTGGTTCCTTCACATAGTGTCTAAACGATCAAATCTCCAAGCCTTCTCTTTCTGGCAGAAGTCTAATCTAGCCATTCACTCATTCATCCCACCCTTCCTTCCCTTTCTTTCTCTCCAGTGAGTCATTTTCCCTCATTTATTCCATACCTTACATTATCACCCTCCTCTCCTTTTCCCTCCCTCTCCATTTCATTGTCCATCACTTTCTCCTTCTCCCCATTCCATGCCCCCTTCTTCCTCATTTTTTCCGTTAGCGTGCAAGACGAAAGGGGAGGCCCTAAAGTCTATTTCCTTTTCCCCTAACTAATTAGTGCCAGAAATATGTGGATTAAGAGGGAAAATGAGGAACCTTCCTATTGGACTGGAAGTACCATAGCCCCCTAAAAGGAAGGAGGAGCCCCACCATTATGGGAGGTGCTTGTCAACAAAGTAGCTGTACAAATGTGGTGCTTAGGATGAAACCCTAGTTAGGTCCCTCTCTAAACCTCTTCAATTGTTTTTTGAGCAACCTCAGTGCCTCTCTGTAGAGTCAACTGTTATGTAAAATCCGAGTTTGGTAAACACCTGTTACCCATTTGCAGTTTTCACATACGCTACAGTTGTAATGAGAAACAATCACCTAGCAAATTCAACACTGATGACTTAAAAATAAGAATAACTAGTAGGCTTTTCTAGGACCATGTCATAGATTCATAGAGTTTAAGGCCAAAAATGGTCATTAGATCACCCCATTCGACTTCCGCTATATATCACAGACTATTGAATTACACCCAGTTACCTCTGTATTGAGCCTAATAACCTGTATGACTGAAGCATATATTCTAGAAAGGCATCCATTCTTGATCTGAAGACATCAAAAGATGGAGCATCCACCACGTCCTTTGGCAGTTTGTTCCAGTTTAATCCTCATGGTTAAAAAATGCTTAATTTTCTATTTGAATTTGTCTAGCTTCAGCTTCCAGCCACTGGTTCTTGTTATGCCTTCTTCTACTAAAGAGCTCTTTAGTACCCACTATTTTCTCCGTGTGAAGATACTTAATACACTGTAATTGTCACTTCTTTCTGATAAACTAGATTGAGCTCTTTGTCTTTCACTGAAAGACATTTTCTCCAACTCTTAAAGCATTTTCGTGATTCTTTTCTGTACCCTCTCTCTAATTTTTCAACATCCTTTTTAAAATGTGGACACCCGAATTGTATGTAGTATTCCAGGATCAGTCCCACCAATGCCACAGACAGAGGTAAAATAACTTCTTACCCCTATTCACTATTTCTATTTATGCATCCATGGATCACATTAGCCTTTTCTGCCAAAGAACTGCACTGGGAGCACATGTTGAGATGCTTGTCCATTATGACCACTAACCCCTTTTCAGAGTCAATGCTTTACCTACAGTAAATCCCCATTCTGTAGGTATTGCCTGCATTCCTTGTACCTAGATGTATAACTTTGCATTTGGCTCCATTAAAATACATTTTGTTTGAAGTCCAACTTACCAAGTGATACAGATTGCTCTGTATGACTGCCTTGTCCTCATTATTTACCACTTCACCAATCTTTTTCATCCACAAATTTTTATCAGCAGTGATCTTATACTTACTTCCAGATAATGTTGAACAGCATCAGGTTTAGTACCAATCCCAGCAGAACTCCACTGGAAACACTCTCATTTGATGACCACTCCACACTGACAACTACTCTTTGAGATCTGCCATTAGCCAGCTCTTAATCCATTTAATGAGTGCTTTATTGATATTGTATAGTTCTGTTTAATCAGAATGCCATGCAGTACTAAGTACAAATGCCATACAAACGTTTTAATATATCACATCTAAGGAGTTATCTTTATTAATCAAACTTGTAATGTCATCAAAGAATGAACCCGGGTTTGACAAGACTTATTTTCCATAAAATCATGTTGACTGTGATTAATTATATTCCTATCCTGTAATTCTTTATCAATTGAATATTGTATCAGCTTTTCCACTACAATAGAACCTCCGTGTTATGAACACTTCGGGAATGGAGATTGTTCGTAACTATGAAATGTTCTTACGGTAACTCTGAACAAAATGTTATGGTTGTTCTTTCAAAAGTTTACAACTGAACATTGACTTACTACAGCTTTGAAACTTTACTATGCAGAAGAAAAATGCACCTTTTAACCATCTTAGTTTAAAAGAAATGAGCACAGAAACAGTTTCCTTACCTTGTCAATTTTTTTTTTAAACTTTCCCTTTATTTTTTTAGTAGTTTATGTTTAACGCAGTACTGTACTGTATTTTCTTTTTTAGGTCTCTGCTGATGACTAATTGCTTACTTCCGGTTCCAAATGAGATGTGTGGTTGATTGGTCAGTTCAAAACTCTGGTGTTCGTAACTATTTTTTCTGGGACTGATTTGAGGCTAACCAGTCTAGTGTTACCCAGGTCATCCTA